GGCATGTGGGTTGAGTGTATATTCCCAATCTGTGAAGATGCTTCGCCAGACAAACATATCCGGTACGTAGTCTAAACCCAGCAACGACTTTATATTTTCTTTATAGGGGCATTTATGTTCAAATGTCACGGGGAAATTTCTTTTTCAAATCTGTTCCAATAAGAGTTACTATAGTTAATACACGACCAATTGATTTTAAGTTACTCTTATATCAACCCAATCCAACTTCTTAGCCTTCCTTGTTTTCACTTCTAAATTAAATAATAATGGTTTTAAAATTTTGTCATCTTTTATTTAAAAAACTCACAAAAGATTTTTATTTAAATAATTATCATTATTTGATGCACCTGAATGCTACGTTGCGATTTTCCAATGGAAAAAAACAATATTAACTTTGCTATTTGGATGGAATAAATACATTCTTTTGTCATTTCTTAACCTAAGGAGAGATTATTTAAGTTTCAATCGCGACAGTTATTACGAATGTAAGGCAGTCTTCTAAAGGAATTGGGCCTTAAAACATTCTTAAAAGTAGTATTTTAGCTGGCCATTTTAAGAGTAAAATCAGTCAAAAATGTGGCACTGAAAGTTCTTGTTGATAGCTGAGTCTGAAGTACAGTAATTTCGTCAATGGTGGAAGAACATTGAGTCTTTCGCCCTAATCAACACCATAGAATTAACAGATTCCTAACTCACGCATTTTGGCGAGAATTCTCTAATGATCGCTTTGATCTTATTATGCCACCGAAATGTAGAGCGCGATTGTGAGACATCAGACAGAACAGTGCGCAACCTGGTTGGCTGTTTTTCACACACACACATACACGCACAGACCAATGTCCTCGTATTTACGATCGAGTTTGAATCTCAACAAACATTACCATCACTACAATTACCTAATGAAATGAGTCAGCAGCCATCTCTTCTCTCTCTCTCCCTCTCGCTCTCTTTGGCTGTCACCTTGTGAGGCTTCGTCGAGTCTTGTGTATCTATGGCTTCATGTATGTAGTTGATTCTCAGGCAACACACACACAACACATGCGTACATAACCTCACATAGTTCTGCTTCCACCCTGTGTGTTCGCGCTTAAATACAGCCAAAGTGTATTTGATTTATGTGAACTCGAGAGTCGTGAAAACTTCTTCTCTTTGAGAGTAACTGAGACGTAACTTCTCCGCTCTTTTTTCGGCGGAAACAAGCAATTAAATTTTAACAGTTTTTTTGTAAAACAGGAAAAGTAGAACACAGGCGAAGAAAAGTTCACTTGAAATTCTACCTTATCACGCGTTTTGTCTGCGTGTGGTTTTCCCTAAAAATACCTAGGACATTGACAGCTTTTTTGACGACCATACTTCTTGTTTCAACCATATCTTGGCAAGGGAGCGATTTTTAAATCCCCTATTTTTTAAAATTATTTCTATTTATTTAAATATTGGTGGGGGGGGGGGGGGGGTTANTTGGGGGGGGGGGGGGGAGGGTTAGAATTCATCAACTAAAAAATTTCTGATTCCAAGTAATTACGTTTATTTAATATTTTTAAAATTTCGCGTTGTTTTTTTCCTTAAATTGTATCATAAACTGGTATGTTGGTAAGAAATATTTTTATTTCCGGTTAAAATTTAACCGTATCATGTGATGAGACCATTTTTACTCAGAATTTCCCCTTTTTACTGCCTGTTCTAAAATAACTTTTTTAAATGTAGAAATCGCTTAAATTATAAATGCAAGTTGTGTGTACCGTGGATCGACCGTTATTTCTCGACATGACATACATGTGTATATATATATATCTATATATATATATATATATATATATCAACTAGAACCCTCTCAGACTTATCTTGGTGGTGAAGCTGATGCCTTGAAATCGAGAGACAGCATTAATTTCTTATGATTCTCTAAGCATTAAGCTATCTCACAGCCTCTCTGTCCCTGAATGCAAATGTGGTCATCTCTTTGTGTGTGTGTGTGGGGGGGGAGGGGCTCATTCCCACGTGGCATGTCTGGCGTTCGCATTTAAGTGCTTACTAAAATTCGATTAGAGCAGTTAATGTCTTGGCTAACCGTAAAGCTTTTCTGCATAATTGAAATCGATTCTTTTATCTGTTGAGTGTTGTCAACTGATGTCAACTGCTTAAAGCATTTACAACAAACTATAGAGTAGATCGCTAGTTTAATTATCCTTTTCAGGAAAAAATTTAGTCCGAATATGATCAAATGTATGCATACTAGTAAACTATAAGGCACTTAAGGCGAGGGGTTTCAATATAGCTACCAAGGAAAAGGATCAGTTGGGAGGAACCTTGAGCTTTGGAATTAGTATTATTGAATATAAGTATCTCCTGAACTCTAGCACCTTTTTGTTCAAACTTCTCCGCGAGTCATCGCACTCAAATTAGGAAGAATATCGAGATTGTGACTTCAAACCCTTATTAATTTCACAATTTCCAAGGGGTGGATAACGAAAAATTAATTTATAACTCTAGTGAAGGGAAAAGTGTTGTGGGCACAACATAATGAAGTCTTATATGTGGTAGGTAAAGCAGCTGAGATAAATCGATAAATAAACTAACAGAAATTGTACTATTCGCTCTTTCAAAATAAATTTTGACTGAAAAAAACATTTAGTGGTTGAATCACATACTCCTAAATTCTCTTTTTCCTTTCTCCCGAGACGTTATGACTTGAACCATATATATATTCTAACTTTCGTATATTTGAAACAACAGTTATATTACAGAGAAGTATACCAATTGGAATTAAAATTTATTTATTCAAAATATTTATTTGAACTGCTTCGTCTCTCCTGTTCGCGCTTACCTTTTGCGACGTATTATCTACGCCATTTCTTTTCCTAAATGGTATTATTTTTAGAATAAGCTATTAGGAATTTCTCATGGTCAATTATTGACTTAAATAGTTAGAATATATTACCTGATTGAATTACTTTAGTATACCCAAGCTATATTATTAAAATGGAATCCTTTGGTCCCTTTTTAGCACTCCAGTTTCCTTATCCACTTTAATTCAGGAAGAAAATTGACGCTCTACACCGGCTCATCACAGGAAGCGCAGCATCTTTTCATCCTTAGCAGCCAACTTCACGAGCATCAAACCATCGCTCATCTCTCCTCCCAGCAGTCTGCTCGCCAACTTGAGCAACAAGGTTAGCTTATAATGGTCATCGATTTATTTTAATAAAGATAATCGTATTGTTCGAACAAGCATATGCAAAGAGATAAGCTTATAACCTTAAAAAGTGTATAGGAGAATCGAATTCATGGGTCGAGAAAGTTTTCAATGTTTAATGCAAAAAAAGTTATGTATGTTTTGAGTTAATTAAATTAATTTATAAAATTAGTATTCATACTGTCGATAGCATTCTGATCTGGGGTATTTCAGCCTTACTTTGTTTAAAACAAGGACTAAGGTAAATTTTATGTATTTGGGGGGGGGGGGGGGGGGGGGGGGGAGGGAGGGCAGAATGATGACATCGATTATGCGAAAAAGTAACCTTTCTATTCTCCGACAACTCCTATGCGATTGTCAGCCCTGTAGTCTATTGTTCTTGCAGTGCCATACCACTTCATCATAGTAACCTTGAATGACAAGTCATTGCTAAGAATACATATCCTTATGGACTCATGCCATATGCTGATTATCAGCTCAACCTCAATCAACAAGTCAACAGTTGAGGCGTTTACTTGCAAGTGCGCTTGCATCATTTGCCATTCTCTTTCATTCATTCATTGTATAAAATCCTCAAAATTCATTTTGTCAGTTAACAGTTGATATTCTTAAGGTTACTAATGCTACCAGTGTATTTATTTAGGATTTGCCTACTTCAATGCATACCTTGGGAAGAACGAAAGTCGGTCTGTGTTAAAAAACGGAAAACATTGTAGAAAACCATTATTGAAGAAATAATTTGTCCTAGGATGCAAAAAATTAAACTCTAATGTAAAAAGAAGGATATTTTACTATATTGGTTTATATATCTTCTGCCAATTTCGTTATTATTACCCTCACCCGATTAAATGAATAAGGACAATATTCGCCTTTTGCTAACTGCATTCCCGTGCATCCATGCTATTTGAATTAGTCCTGTTCTGAGTCAGCGTACCATGAAAGTGTCTACTTCCGACTGCTTGAATAACAAAATGGCTTCATACTGAAACACCTATCCTAGCCTACATTCCTAAATTATTTTAATGTTTCCAAAATTGGAATGCTAATTCTATTGAGGTGCATTTGTATTTGCAAAAATATTTCTATTTAGCTTTGATTTCACGTCTAAACTTCTTCATTTTCGTAAATATACTGGCAAGAGCTGATAAATTCAAGGTGAAAGGTAGCATGTCATCTTTAACTAATATGTCTTACCAATATGTCCAAACTGACTTCGAATCATCATGACACAAGTGAATAATCAAGTAAATCCAAAAATAATTTGTTTCTAAATATGAATTTGTCCTAACTGCCATGATTTCGTTTTAATAGATCGTCTTCAGTACAACGAGTCCTACGTCTACAGTGAAGGTGAAGTGGTTGCAGGTAACCGACTCCACGGAAATCCTGACGTAACGAAGGGGGATAAACTACTGGTAGAAACTAGTGACTCGCCTCTCTTCCCTCAAATAGGTGTCAGCTCTAGTCATGATGCCAGTGATTCGGGTGTTGTCAAAGATGATGCGTCACAGCAACAGGAGCATAGACAATCCGCTTATATTTGATACTACTATTTGCATATAAGTAGAATATGTCCATTTCTTTTAGTACCCCACCAGACATTTGTAGTCTTTTTTTTCTCTACCTTGGCATTTTCTTGTAATATATTTTTTGTTATTCAAATGCTGAATGGCAATAAGTACTAAAATTTCTTTCGACTTATATCTGAAAGTAAACAAAAAGCCTATTGGATTAAATTAAATTGCACAGGATTTAGCATCCATCCTCATCAAGAGGTAAAAACAGAAGCTTTCAATCCACCTGGGGGAGGGGGATATATTCAGATTTATAAATCAAATGAGACATTTAAACTCGGCGGGCTTATTGGCGTTTCAAAGTTGCAAAGTAAGTTTAGTTTAATTAAGCTTTTTTGTAATCGTAAATAAAGTAAAATGTTATTTTAACTAAACCAAGAAATGGATAAGTCATTGCTGCTTTTGAACCACTATAGTAGACTCAGAATTCTAGCATTTTCACCAATGCTGTCGAATTTATAATTGAATTTCATCTTCAGATAACTTCGTTAGTTTAGCAACTTTAATGACCAAAATGGAATTTTCCATGAAAACCCCCGATTGCCATAAAAATGTTAACTCACAGATCCAATCAAATTTGCTACATTGATGTCTTGGGGATTTGAAAGTGCTCATCAAAAGGAATTCTTGAATTGATCGAAATGACTATTGCTGTCTTGAACATATAAATTTGGCAGCAAGTAATAATGATATTTCAAGTTCGAATGGTATAATAAATGTTAGACATAATCTACTCAACAAAATGATAGAATATCAATCCTTAGCCTGCTTTATACGCTCTCTGGGAAACCTTGAAGTAATTATTTGCCAATTAAAATTTCGTGCTTCTCTTCGCCCTTTTTTCCCTGTAATGGCGTCATTTCTCTACTTATCTTGTCATGCTATTGTGCGCTTACTGACAGACAAAGGGACACCAATATCTCTTTACATATCGTGAAGTATGAACCAACCTCCCACCCTCTCCCCCCCCCCCCCACTTTGCTCATTTGGGACTGACGACGATCAGGAGTTGCTTGGCTAGCCGCTCGCCCTGATTACAACTTCGTGTAGCGTAAATGAAGATGTCATGATGCCATTAAAACAGGCTGTCAAGGGCAACTACAAAATAGTACTGAATTATTGCTGAAATAAAGCGATCTTAGTTAATCACCATAAGGCTCGAGTCCAAGTCCCTCTCACGCTTCTGGACTTTGCCGAGGTTGACAGGAAAGGTAATCTCTTAGACGAAAGCCACTTTTGGCAGTTCAATGGAAGTTAAGAGTATGCTGATAATAAATTGTGGCTAATTTCGTTAGTATATCACTAAGCACTTTACCCAAAGTAGGGACCAATTCCAAATCTCTTGCTTAAACAGAGAGGAGCACAATATGTGAAGGTAGTCAATGATGGCATTTTGATAGGCAATGTGAAGAAAGATTGGTGGGCTTTAAGTTTTGCCTCTTGAAACCCTGACAATTACTTTGGATGAGTTTTGGTGACAATTATGGAGAGTGCTTCATTGAAGGATTGTACCTCAAAGACGCTTGGTGACGAAGATAATGATTTTCGACCTAAGGTCAATACACATAAGAGCAATACACGGCTTGCCTGAATATTCATCTTTAAAAGTTGAACGGCATAGTGGTGGAACCAAAATAGACTACAAGGCCATGGCCTTTCCTCCTCACGAAATGGACTCTAATAAGTCGCTATTTCTGCGCATCCGTTTTTAGCGCTTAAAGTGAGACTAATTTTCCCAATTAGACAGCTTAGACAGTACAGGTATTGTTGTCACTTGCCAGGTCTTATCTTCATGTACGCATTAGCCCGGCAATCACAACCGTTGTGGTGTTACAAATGCTCGAAAATACTCCCTACCCCCTCTTTAACTCGATAGTCTATTTATTTCTACCCCCTACCAACACACGCATTCACAGAAAAATTCCTCTATTTCCAACTCTCGGGGTGCGCGATAGACTTACCTCCACGTGGTGCACCCTGGGCAAAGTATACTCATACGGCAAAAAGGCCTATTAACTGGCAGTTGACTTCTCACTTCAAACTACCATCACCCTACTGTATGCCATATTCGGTCCATTCCACAGTACTCATCTTATCTTTTTCTACATTTGTGTCTGTCTCTTTTATATCTTTGAAACACTCTTCT